GAAGAAGATAATTCTGAAAATGAAAGAAAGAATGAGGAAGTGAATGAAGAAAACTGTGAGGAAGACCTGGAGCACAACAAAACACAGGACAATATGAATACTCAAGTATCGCAGTATAGATATAATACTAGGTCACAAGGGCAGGCAGAGGACCATGATTGGATTCTCAAAAGGGCCATTTAACAACAGCAGGGCGATCCAACTCCCCACCACCACCCTATGAGCACGAAAACATCGCCCCAGGTGTTGGGCCTATGATACCTCAAAGGCCACCCCTGAACCGTTCTGTGCCATACCCGGCACCTAACCCAGGACAGCGAGAGGACCATCCATTGAACCAGCCCGGATCTACCCAAGAAGCCCAGTGGTCAAACACCCCGACCGAGCGATGGGTTTATCGAATGGGACGTAACCTGAATAAGGTTACCATTAAACGTCACTGAGTGAGTGATTTAATTTTATAGAAATAGGTTTCATTAGACTATGCGAGCATGTAATTATCGTTATTTCATAATTTACCAGAGTAGAGATAAGTATTAAAAGCAATATATATTGGAAATTGTCTAAAATTTTCGTAGGTAGTAGTATAGTGTGGAAAAAAAAATAATTTTAATTTATAATAGAAACCTATAGTTATATTATTCAGGTATAGGAATTTTGCATAAACGACTCTATATATTTATCGTAAGAGAGGTCTGCAGGTACCTACCAAAGATCATTCAAATATCTCATTCATTTTATTTGTTGATACTATAATTTACTGGGTCACAACTTTATATAAACAATTTCGAGAATGTTGTAAGATGTTCTTGATGTTTCATGGGTGAAGTTCACGTAATAATAGCGCTAGAAAGAAATACAGATCATAATCTATATATAGCAACGAAATTCATATGTTAAAATATGGAATTTCGTCTACGAGGGATGGATCGAATGTAATGAACGCGAAGACTCGACCAAAAATAGCATAACAAACTAATGCTAGACACTTCACACTTATAGGAAGTAGAAGGTCGTTTTAATTAGGTCAATAAATATTTAGGTATCTGAACTCGAATGCATTCAATAAGTATTAGAAGGATAGATTGATAGAGCAATATTATTACGTGAATTAACTCTTGTTGGAAATATGAATATTTGTTTCAAATCCCAAGAAATGCATATATGTAATAGGTTTATTATTAGGTACTTTACCTTTGTAACATTGTTGATAGTGGCATAAAAGTTAGAAAAGAGTGTACAGGGAATTTATAACCTAAGTAACTGAGCCACAGCAGAGGGGCGGGCCAAAGATAGGTAGAGGCCAGATGAATTATTACAAAAATCAATTAGTTTAAAATCTTTTCAGATGAACATTGAAATCCTTTTTCTGTACTTAATTTTAAGTAATACTCAAGGTCAACTGACATCGATTTTTGCAAAATGATTAATGATAAAATTCCATTAAATTAAAAACTATTTCTGAAAACATCCGAAGCCACTCTTTTTGCACTTTAATTCGAGGTCAATTCAACTAAGCGAAAATCTAATGAATTCTGATTAAATTTATGACCAAATCTCAGTATAAAAGCAGGGAATTTTGGCATAAAAGTAAGTCTTGATCGAACTCTTGATACGAAGTCTCATGTCTTGAACTCTGTTAAACAGTCTAGTTATACGTGATATGTAGTTTATATTAGAAATTGCTTAAAAGTCTGTACCTAGTGAACATATTGTGTTTCTGCAATAGATGTGTATCGAGAATTATTGAACTTTTATAAAACTGTATCAACTTTTCAAAGTGACCCGGTATATAGTGCGAGTGTACATCATCCTGTCATCATGTATAACCAACCAATATGTAAGCACATCTGTTTTACTTCCATGTCAACTCTGCCTGTCCATATTATGATGATTGCTGATTAGAGATTTATGTATTTTGAACTGCCGTATTAATGTCTATATACACCAATCTTACTCCTGCCTAAGTATTCACGAACCCAGTGAATCAGTAACTTTGTGAAGACCCCTGTATAGGCCAACCCAAGAAAAGGGGTGCTTTACAGCATCATTGCGATTGAAAACTTTACGTAATTGGCAAACTGTTTTCGTGAAACTTTCACCATTTTTGAAATGCGTTTTTACAATAAATAAACGTTGTTTGCTTGAATACTTCTCCTTATTCTTAAATCGCATGTTATGTACGTGACAACTGTTAAAAAAATCACTTTATTGAAAAAATCAAAATCCGTTGCTCTTGTTGGTACACCATTCATGATGAGCCTCAGCTGGTCGGGTTGCCAGTAGAGCTCTGCACGGGCCGGGCCAACCCGCGCGGTCTTAGGCCCGACCCGATCCGCACCGCGGGTCGGGCCGCCACGGGCCTGAAGAATGTAGCGTGCGGGGCGGAACGGGTCGATTTATAAAAAGTGCGGGGCAGACCGATTCATAATAATGAGCTCGGCGGACCGTGCGGGTTAAACGGACCGTGCGGGTCCCACGGACGTGCGGGTTCCGCGGACCGTGCGGGTCCCGCGGGCCCTGTGGATTGCGGTAGTGTTGTGGATTATGAGTCTTCATTTCCTAGTAACAGAATCCCACATTCGAAATGACGTGATACTCTGAACAATCCAGACGCCCATTCGTTTGTAAAATGAACTCGGTTTTCTTGGGATCCTCAAATCAGTCGAATCCCAATAGCCTGTGACTGTGGTAATGAATAATGAGTCTTTAGTTGATTATATTTATTTTGATGAGAGCTTGAGCGCAATATATTCATACAAATCGCATTCGTTTTTATTGTCCCCATATTGCCGAATGTCGAGTAACTATCCCTTAGGAAAATATTACAATCGAATAATCTAGACGTAAGTATCTTCCAATTGATAAATTACATAAATATATAGCCATCAATCATTCAATTTAATTGATCTCAATAAATTTCACTGCTGATTACCACTTCAAACACATCAGCATATCATTGATATTGAGTGAAAATTCAGGGTGGAATTTTTTCCCTTAGGTCAGAATATGTTTGAAGTTTCTTTCCATAAGTGGGTTACGCGGGCCGAATGAGCTACGCGGGCCGAGTGAGCCACGCGGGCTGAGTGGGCCACGCGGGCCGAGTGGGCCACGCGGGCCGAGTGAGCTACGCTGGCCGAGTTTTAGTAAACATGAGGGTCATGCCGCGGGTCGGGCTAAAATGTTGTCAACTGCGGACCGCGCGGGCCTGCGTTACATTTTATGCCGTGCGGGTTGCTGCGGGTCGGGTTCCATTTCATAAACATGCGGGTCGGGGCGGGCCTTAAAAATCTGGCCCGCGCAGAGCTCTAGTTGCCAGTCACTCATTGTGATTCTTGTAACGTTGGTTACGGCGGGCCATGCATTACAGAGGAGAAATGATCTAATGTTTTCGCAAGAACATGTTTCAATTGTGTTTTGTCATGCACAATTCTTGACTTCTGAGAGCGAGGAAAATATGGACGCATCCAGAATGAATTGTTTCACTGAGAACAAGTTGATTTTCATTCAATTCTCCTCCCAACCAAGATTCGAAGGGCGTTCCAGATTTGGGTCACTTTCAAGAAAACTCTAGATCTTTGATATCCATCTTGAGTCAATTCTGATATTCAGATCTCTTCATCTGAAGTTTTATCTTCAAAATGAGCCTAAGATTTTCAAAATCGGTTGACGTGGAAAAAAGTTATGGCTGCAAAACCAAAAAGTTGATTTTTTGAGATCACTCTGTAAATAAGAGAGATAGGGAGTTGATTCGCGAAATATCTCGAGGTAATGAGATCATCTTCATGCTTATGTTGTCGAAGTTGAGAAAAAATCTTTTTTCACCATTTAAGTGCCTTTTGAATATTCCGGAATTTCGCACAGTGTCGGAAAACACCATGTAGAGATTTTATGTGAATACCCTTATGTTTCAATGAAGTACCAGAATATAGCTGAAGGACTGGGCTATCGAACAGTGTGATCCAAATTCAAATTGTTCTAAACTGAAAAAAGTTATCCACATTATAACAGGGGTGACATTTTGGTGTGCGACGAAATTAGTGTTGAGTAGTTTATATGATATTCGAATATACTTCATCATCATTCTGAAGATATATTTATGATTGAAATATTCGTACATATTATTTCAATCAACAATTTGATATCAATAAGTTATTATGAGACAAACGTCTTGCATGGTCACTATTTAGTATCAATTGAGTGATACATATGATCGACTATTGCTATACCAATTGATTAACTTATTTCATCGTCATATATAAGACATCTGATGAAAACCGTAATATGATTGGAATATGTGAAAGAGAATATTTACCGGGTCGGCGGAAAACTGACTATTGTTTCGCCTGATTTGTATAACCTCGGCTAATGCGCTGTTGTCAATTTGCAGACTTGACTATAATAGACAGTTTTTCGTCGTTGATACATAAATAACTATTTTTGTCTCCTACAAACAACGTGAATCATCTATATCCAGTAAGAATGATACTAATATGTTCAAGACATATTGTTGTTGTTGAGTTCGTCGGTATCCCCACGATATGTAAGAGAGCAGAGAGGTATGAAATATGCACACTAAAGCAAAAGTTTCTTCAGATTGTTAGAAACTGAACCGTTTTCTTCAATATTATTCGAAGTTCACGCAAGTGATCGTTCGTACCAAAGGAGGATATGGAGAGGAGATATTTATTGGATTTTTTGACTTCCGATGTTCACAAACTGTCAGAATAAAAACCTCATTTGGGAAAAAATAATTATATTTTTATGGGATACCTAACAGAATAAAAACCATAGATGACGTCATGAAATTCAAGAGTGAACTGAAGAAATATATTGGATCAATCTAACTCTCTACTTTATATTGATTAATTATGATTTGAATCATTATTTCATTGGATATTGAATTTGTTAATTTGTTTCTTGTATTTCTTCATGAACATGTATGTTTCATGTGATTAATGAATGTTATTATCATTTTTATTTATCGACAAAAAGATTCATCAAAGGCTTAGCGACACTACTGAATTATTGTCCAACTGGACCGTATGCCCCGAACAAGATTTGCAGTACAGCTTCCTGAAACCGCCCAGTTTGCAGTAGCTGCGCAGAAGGTCGAAACTGCAATACTCGGACTCGTCTTTGACGCATCTTGCCCCTCTCCTGCCTCTGCAGAGGTGGTGGGAGCGTCTGTTGAAAGGCCCGCTGCAGCTTCTTTTCTGCGCAGTAGGTGTGGGACCACAAGTGAAAAAGGTTTCGTCTTCTGGAGGGGGACAAACGAAGGACCTGGTTTGGATGCCGTGCCCGCAAGATGATGAACACTGCGAGGAAAAACTTATATTAAAAGCGTAGGCAGTTGGCTGCGAGAACGAGAATATAATCAGCAATAACTTTTCTCGCCTACAATATAATATGAAAATGAATCATAATAACCCTCAGAGTCTGGCCGAGAGTAATGTGTATCGTCCCTTGTATTGTCTGCTAAACTGATAACTTCACGATTTTGTAGTTTTTCACTATCTACGTTTCACATAAATTTCCATTAAACAATCATGAATCTGAAGATCTGTCATTTTTTGTGTTGCATGCAGAAAACATTATTTCCTGCCCTTTGTGACATAATATTGTACTGTCTTAAAGACGTACATTTCACGTCTGACTTACGTCACGTTCAAGGACGTATGATTTATATCTCAAATACATTTCAGGTCTAATTCATGTCATTCTCCCCATGCCGTATGGAATACGTCTCAAAGACATACACGTCAAGTACGTCAATACGACGTAAAGGAATGCACAGAAGGTAATGTGAGTTAATTTCAGAAGGGAGAGGAAAAGAAAAAGTCATTTCCACACGTTTTTTATTCCCAACTTTTCAGTTTATTTCTTATCAACAAGTAATGTTTTTAAATTTTTTTCGTCATTTCGGAGCCTTTGCGGTAGATTCTTGAATTTCTACATAAAAAGCCCCATGCATTCACCAGTTCTGAATCAATTCGGACCATAATCACAAAACTGGTTCGCCATGTTAAGCCGCAATCTTGGATTCTTCATTTTTTACAGATAGAATCAGATAGATTACATTTGCGTCAAATTTGGAATGCAAGTTCTGATTGGAAACAGACACCAGGACATGTTATGTAATGAATGGAACAAACAGAGTTCGACTCGGACATCACCAGGACTCAAATTCGGATTTATCTGTACAGGAGATTTATATCGTATATCTTGACGAGTCGAAGATGGGCGTGAAAAACGCAAAATCATTACTACAAATTACTAATAATGCCATACCCTGACCTTAGACCGTTGAGGGCACAGAGGTTACGAAATGTCCCGTTGTGAAACAAATCGAAATGGAGCTGGACAGACGTTTGTCATTCAGAGGAGATTTCAACTATCCTTTATGAAAAACTCAAGCAGCAACTAGGGGCTTGTATCCTTTGTTGGCCAGAAATCCCCTAATAACATTGAATAACAAGCTCTTGATCGATAAGCAGATAATCAGACCTGTGATGACATACGCCTGTTTGTTGTTTTGTAGTGGCTCACCTACCCAAATAGAAAGACTACAGGTGCTACAAAACAAAATTCTCCGTATCATTGACAATGGTTATCGATATTCCCGAGTGGCAGATCTGCATGAACCGTGTCATATTATACCAAAAGATGGGAAACCTCAATCGATCTGTAGGATTCTCATCCTGAAAGTATGGAATTTCGCGAAGTTTCTTGGACAACGCGTAAGTGATATCATTGAGATTTCAAGAAAGCATCATGACTTTACCGTGGCACTAAGCACGCTGGAGTCAAGCGTGACTCGCTGTTTATGTTTATGGGCCACTCCAGCAGGCTGATTGACCGAGACCGATTCTGGGCGTGGCAACTGGATATGGTCATCGAGCGCGAGTCCAAGGCGACCATCACTGAAGAGGGTTCTAATCTTCCACTTTCTCCCATCGGAACAACAAATTTCCATCAAAATAATGTTCGTATTCGACCCTCAAATAGGGTGGGATGGGGAAAAGAATGGCGGAATACACACATTGACTTATTATATCTTGTAAAGTAGCAACATATATTAAAAAGTGAACAGGATAGAAGAAACTATTGTAAATCAGTCAAAGAATGAAATTTCCTTACCAACCAATTCTTCATTTTGATTTCTCTACAGAAAAAAATAGGTTGAGATTATAGAAAGAGAACGGCAGTTTTCACATTGACTTGACTACCTGGAAAGAGGAGCAAGATACCTTGGAAGAGGAGCAAGAGACCTTCGAAGATAAGCAATATAGAAGAAACCATTGAAAATCCCTGAAAAATTTGAATGTCCGTACCAAACAATTCTGCACTTCTATTCGCTGCTATGCTCACCTGTGACCATTCTGTGAAATTCCAATACGAAAAACACGGTTGCCTGTTGCAAGGCCTGGTGCTTAACGGTTTGGAGTCCGAGCATCTCCTTGGATGGACCAGGTACCTCCAAGGTTCCCTCATGGTACCATTGAACTGGTTTAGTATGACCGACAGAGCGGAATTAGGTACGCAGTAAATTTGCCTCTGCTGTATTCCTTTGGTGCCACACGATACTGGGCATGGTTCCCATTCTCCTGCTATCCATTCAAAGCTGCACCTAATGGAAAGAAAAACTATTGATAATTACAATCTGTAGATTGATCAGATAGTTAGTTTTTTAGTATTCTCAGGATTTTCTCTACTCGTCTCAATAGATGAAAATATTTTTATGAGGTATTTCCATATACTTGTAGCAAGAACAAATCTTCCATCCGTGTGGTGGTCGGATTAGAATAACCCCACGGTAAGTCCTGCCTGTCGTAGGAGGCGACTAAAAGGACGCCAATAGGTGGAAGATGGTTAACGCCATCGCCCGGTGCGATACCACCACATCAACCATAGGCACTGTGAAATGGGTATACTTACCCGTGTTTCAGTAGCTGGTTGATGTTCCGGCCAACCCAACCCAGCCCAATTTCCTTTTCCTTCCACGCCAACCTCCCTTCTCTATACAGATTAAGCGATGATGAGTTCTCCTCAAGTAAAATTATCCGGAAGTAAAATACCTCTCCATTCGGATTTCCGGGCGTGAGGTGCTAGAGGGGGTTCACCATCGACTGAAAAAGTCCTCAAGATAGACCTATGTAACATCCGAGGTCTAAGTAAGAACATCAACGAAGTCCATCGACACCTTCAAATTGAAAAGCCAGACATATTGGCTCTTACTGAGACACAGGTCAATTCATCCACCAATACGACCTATCTGCTCTGTCCTGGGTACGAACTCCACACACGTTTCAGATTCAAGGGAGGTCTCTGCCTCTACTCTAAAACGAATCTCTCATGTCAACGAGAAAAAACTTTGGAACCAAATAAGTTTGATGTCATGTGGTTCAAGCTCGATAGCCAGAAACAGACCAAATACCTTTGTTGTCTCTACTTATCACCAAATGATCCATCCTATGAAGAGCTCTTCGAATTCTTGTCTCTGAAGCTTGACCAAATTCAACAGAACCATCCAGCAGCAGAAATCATCATCATGGGCGATTTCAATGTACACAACACTGCTTGGCTCGTACACTCTAACAGAACGGATGAAGCTGGGCGACAAGCCGAAGCTTTCGCCATCACTCACGGCTTAGAGCAGCTTATCAAAGAACCCACACGAATTCCCGATGCCAATAACCATTCAGCTAACATACTTGACTTATTCCTCACTAATAATTCAGAACCCCACACCATAGATGTACGAGCTCCACTTGGCAATTCTGACCACACACTCATCTCCACAACCTGCCCATTTTTCATTCCATCAACTGATTCGGCACCCCCACGTCGTATATGGCATTACAATTCAGGAGATTGGGACGGTCTCCGCATGTTCTTCTCCAAGTTTCCTTGGCATAGAGTATGCTTTGGCTCTGAAGACCCTTCACAGTGTGCTGCGGAAATATCCGAGATCATCATGCTCGGAATGGACACATACATACCCCATTCTTCAAAAAGATCATCACCATCGAAACCCTGGTTCAACAAAAACTGTTCTAGAACTGTTGCCTTGAAACAAACAGCCTACCATCGTTGGCGCAAAAACCCTAACCTCGCGACTAGAGCAGAATACGTTGATGCCAGAAATAACTGCAGCAAAACAATAGATGCTTCGAAAGAAACATACAATGCCAAGATAAGATCGAAACTCATAGATTGTCCCAATGGCTCCCGTTCGTTTTGGTCCCTCGCTAAAGCGGTCGGAAGAAATTTCACTGATAGTTCATTTCCACCACTGTCCATATCCGACGGCACATTAGCAACAACATCGCAGGAGAAAGCAAATATTTTTGCAGAGATTTTTGCAGCAAACTCTACATTAGATTCCCAAGGAAAAGTGCCGCCAGACATTCCACCCGTTGAGAGTCGAATGCCCGAAATCGTCTTCCGTCAACGCACTATCAGACGAATTTTGCTTGGTCTCAAAACGAATAAGGCTAACGGTCCTGATGGAATTCCACCCATTATCCTCAAAAAATGTGCACCAGAATTGACACCGATTCTCTGCAAGTTGTTTACCGTCTCGTACAGGTCGGGTATTTTTCCATCATGCTGGAAGACAGCTAGAGTCCAACCAATCCCCAAAAAAGGGAACAAGAACCTGCCCAACAACTACAGGCCCATCGCCCTGTTATCAGTAATCTCCAAAGTTATGGAGAAAGCCATCAACATTGAGCTCATCAAATATCTGGAGAGCTCGGGAATCATCAATGATAGACAATACGGCTTTCGCCACCGAAGATCTACTGGAGATCTACTTGCCTACGTCACCCATTTATGGCAAGCTTCATTAGAAAAACACGGGGAATCTCTAGCTGTCGCTTTGGACATATCGAAAGCATTTGACCGTGTTTGGCACGAAGGACTTCTCCACAAACTACCATCATACGGCTTACCACCTCAGCTATGCCATCTCTTATCGAGTTTTCTTTCAGGCAGATCGCTTCATGTGGTGGTGGACGGTGTATCGTCTGATACAATTGGCATCAATTCCGGCGTTCCACAAGGATCAATTTTGGCACCAACATTATTCCTTCTTCATATCAATGATCTGTTGGGAGTAACAACTTGCCCCATCCACAGCTTTGCAGACGATAGTACCCTACATACAGCGTTCTCTTCCAGAATTCCTATTTCTTCCCAGGAAACTAAGAACACACGGCGCAGGCAGGTCAATGCTGTCAATGAAGACCTTGCTGAAATCACAGCCTGGGGAACCAACAACCTAGTCGAATTCAACGCTACCAAAACTCAAGCCTGTATTTTCTCTAGAAAGGCGGATCTCAGTATGCCCGACATTGTAATGTCTGGCACCACCATCCCCACCAAGCCCACCATATCTATGCTCGGTATTTCCATCAGCAACACTCTTTCATGGGATAATCATGTCAGATCCATCGCAAAAGCTGCTTCACAAAAACTCGGATTCTTGTTCCGTGCGAAATGCTACTTTACACCTCAACAGCTCCTCATGATCTACAAAGCGCAGATACGGCCTGTTCTAGAATACTGTTCCCACATATGGGGTTCAGCACCGAAACATACGCTGATGCTCTTAGATTCCATCCAGAGAAGAGCCATCCGCCTGGTGGGTGACGCCACACTCACTCGCTCTTTGACATCATTGGAACACCGTAGAAAGGTCGGCGACCTTTCACTTTTCTATCGATACTTCCACGGGAAATGTTCTTCGGAAATCTCTGCTATCATCCCTTCACTAGCAATACCAGTCAGACGAACTAGACAAGCCCAGTCAGCACATCCCTTCGTTGTCAACCTCGAAAGATGCCGAACAGCACTTCATCAAAACTCCTTCATCCATAGAACGGCTGGGCTCTGGAATTCATTGCCTGAGGAAGTATTCCCAACAACATATAATCTCCAGAAGTTCAAAAAAAATTCCAATACCTACCTCCTATCCCTATCCTCCCTAGGAACGCACGATGTTCTTTGAACATTATAGGGATTCCCTCTCGTGCGCTCCAAGCGATAAAAAAAAAAAAAAAAAAAAAAAAAATCGAATCATTCGCATCAGAATGTTAGTGTGATTGAAATCTCACTCTAAGGAATATGAAGAAGAAATTCAATCAATAGTCAGTGACACCTTGATTGAAACATTTTCAAAGAGGATTTTTTTGGAACAAATCTGTTCTCGTTTTCGAAATAAAAATTGAAAACAACTCCTGCAATAGATCTTTTCTTTTTTGTCTTCGAAAATTTCTCAGTGACAGAAGTTGACAAGAGATTGATCTAGAATCCACCATTTTTATATTCGATATTCCTATTTATGGAGACTAGGGGAGAAAACCCCAAAAATTCAAAGAAATAAAAAAAGGTATGCTGTTGTTTTCCTCGCCAATCGCGAACCTGTATTTCTTGAAATTTTATTGGATTTGAGCTAGAGTTGAAATGATGTTTTTATTTCAGAGGTTTGACGTTGAAATGCAGTCCCAAGGATCAGTTGGTGTTATATAGGTACAATATATCAATAAATGCCACAAAATCGTTTTCATGTCCAATCACTTTATAATAATTGAAGTTTCATTTACACTTATGAACCGTTTGAAGTACCACCTCATTCACTAGTGAATCAGTACTGTCTAGCTCCGGCTGACAATTGGGACAACACTTTTCTTTCTCGATCTTCAAGTTTTAAGGTCTATTTCTTCGATTAGGACTGGTGGATCATTCCACTAGAGTAATCCGGTAGCGCCATCTGTCAGCAGAAAGGTTTACTTGTAGTACCACTTTGAAGCGTGTAGACGTAGAAGTTTTCTGTAGTATTCACATGTTGATTATGAATGACATCCTTGAGTGTGAATGCTCAAAGATGGCATTATCCTTCTGTGTGTGGCGTCACCTCTACCTTGGAACTCTGCCACTAGATGGCGATAACATGACTATAAATCTTCATGTATCCTCCGACATTTTCCATATAGGTGACATTTTTTAAATGTTCAGCTGTCCTAAATTCTAGCAGACCTAGAGCAACTGATGAGGCCTGGTGGGCCGAAACAGTACTGTCTCGCTCCTGCTGGCATCTGGGGTAACTCTGATGTTCGTCCTAAATCCCTTAGTTATGATATGTAGTTCTTTGAAGAAACACATTTTCTATAGTTATTATTATTATTATCATTATTGAATTATTATTATTATCATTTCATTATTATTATTATTATTATTATTGACATCAAAACCCAGGAAACACATCAACGTGACTAACGCATGAACATCACATTATTTCTGGTCAGTTACGTAACAAAAGAGCTAATAAGTGAATTGACTGTGCATATTGTCCGCAACACGTTACATCATGAGTTACATCAATTCTATGTAATACTAGTTATATTATTATTACATCAAAGAGATGTCAATTGGACGTGCGAATCTGGATAACGTAATTACGTCTCACTAATATAATTTCAAGGTACCTATTATACTTCTGGTATTTTGAATAACAAAGAATAATCAGACTAATTAATACTTTATTGAACAGAAAATACACAAAAGGTTTAGTCGACCACTTTTATACTCCACCTTTTCCATACCAATAATATACCTCCTGCTTGAACTCCATATTCGTTTTTGATAGTATCAGATGAAAATTATTCGATCTTCATATCCCTGCTTCCCATGGATTTTATATTGGTTATCTAAAACTATGAGACAAAACAATAACAAAATTATAACTCAAAATGTCCTCAACATTCTCACTTGACTGATAGGTACTTTAATAGACAGTTACTCTTTTTTTTGTTTTATAAAGGAAAACATGCATTAAACATAGTATTATTCAACTCACCACAATATAGTATTCCACGTTTCAATCAATTTTCAGAAACTCACATAATTTAATGATCAAGGAACTGGCTTAACTTGCTGATCAAGTAACAAATAACACAACACAAAACAACACGTAACAACGCTGACGCCATCTTATTTCTAACTAGAGCCGACTTGACGAGAGTGACAAGACCCCCTCCTCTCTATCGTTCGTGTTCTTTCGCGAAAACTTGAGATATACTTATTCAAATGAATTGTTCATTGTCACGTCCGTTTATTAGAGATAGATTTCTTGTGAATAAATTGATATGAAATTGACATAGTTCTAGAGATATTCTATTGATATAATGATAGTTACGAAGATGTTATATAATCATTACGTAAGAATGTTATGTAATTGAGGTATATCTGTTATATCGAACATTGCTGTTAATTCAAGGAAAATAGAATTATGTAAATTTTGTATCTAAGTTTCATGGTACATTGACGTCAATTTGTGGAGTTGTGGAACATTCGTTACATGAAATTGACGGCATATGTATGTAAATATAACGACTCTGTGGATACTCACCCGAATGTATTGCATTTTTCTGATCCTAGCTTGGGTCTGTTCAACAATGAACAAAGATTCCTCTTCACGATCTTGTCCTGCAAATTATCCCAACAAGCGGCCGTCCTGTGCCGCTTGCCACCATCGCAGCTGGCAGAACACGGGCCCCAACCTCCGATGATCCAGGTGTACCTCTTGGAGGGGATCAGGTGGTCTTTGTGAATGCTGTACGAGGTGCTGCAGGAGATGTTCATGCCAGCTCTGAGCTCGGTTTTGGGTACTATCGCCTGAAAATCAGCGCGCTTTTAGCGTCTACAAAGATTATACACTCCCCCTGGCGTCTATCTGTTTCTATGCGGTTTCAAGGAGGTTTAGTGAGGTCCTATACTATATCGAATAGTCGTAATATGTGTTCTAATTGTTCTCATACAGCATCAAGCTAGAATGTTATGAATATCAATGATTCCTGGTGATTTATACAGGGTGAGTCATGAGGAACTCCTACCACGAATAGAGGCCGTTGAGGGGAATACCTAATGACCATCAGAAAGTGTCTTCTTCTCTTCTTCACTAATATATAGGGTGAATTATGAGTTTTGGCAAAAACATATTTTGGTCATAACTTCTCAACATCTCCTATGATTCGTCTGATTTTTTCATGGAATATTCCTCTACTAAACCCTAATCGACTGACCTATTCAGAATAATCGGTTGAATCCAGGAATGTTTTTGAAAAATTTCGATAGCTCAGTTTTTATCAAAAAGTTCATCTTGTATATGGTTTTTGTAAACTGTGACAGGGAATTATCAAAGCACACAAACATCAAGAATGGAATATTCAAAATCCTCCTCACACTCACACAGAATCTTTTGAAAAACTATAAATTATAAGCAAAAACGAAAGTTTGACAACAAAGTTCATTCATTCGAAAATAATTACTTCGCAACGCATAAATTTTTCATTTCATTCCATTTATTTATTCATATATAATTTCTTGGTATAATCGAACAATATAATTTTTGATATAATTACATGGTTACATACTTATTATCATGCACCTAGGTGTAGACATCTGTATGTGCATAGCATACAAGGGTGATATAATTTATTGAAAATTCTCCTATGTACATACATAAGTAATTCTAACTCAAAGAAGAATAATCATTGAGAATGATAGGTAATATGTTTTTAAATAATTATAACCCATATTATATTTCTGCAAGATTGATGTGAAATTTAAGAAGAAATGCGCTGAAAAACATAATTAACATGAATAGTAACTCAAAAAATAAACTATTGGGATAAGTGATTATCTGATGTTAAGGTTATCCGTATATACATGATAATTATTGTATATATGAGTTCTACACATTCTAGAAAATACATGGTATTTGTGTGCATTTCTGATTTCCATAGGCAGTAAATTATAGATTCTAGGGGCTACACTTCTTGAAAATCTCATGGTGGCGTCTTTTTGACAAAAAGGGACAGATAAATAATTGTTAAACACTTGTCGAGTATTATGAGGATGCGATACAAAATTCAGTGAGTCTTTGTTTTTGAATACAAATATGCAATTGCTGTGGAAATACAGCATTCTGAAGTTAAGAACATTACAATTGTATAATAGAGCTGTTGGGTACAGCCGATCTTTGAAATGTATTATCTTAAGTATGTAATTTTGTATAACGTTCAACGGTTCAAGTGCATTGCTGTAGAGACCACCCCATACCAGGATTCCATAGCTTAAAATAGATTCTACTAGAGCTTTATATACCATTATCAAGAGATGCCTTGTCATGAATTTCCTTATTACATAGAACTTATATATAAGTCTTCTCAGTCTATTAGTCAGATTTGTGACATGTCTAACCCATTTGAGATTTTTATCGATGGTAATACCCAGATATTTAGCCGCCTCTGATTCATTTATCTTCAAGTTTGTGTTCCTAATATATAGAGAATTGAATTCTGGTCTATTTGCATTGTTCAGGGAGAATGCAATGTATGTTGTTTTTTTATTGTTCAACGATAACTTATGCAGGTCTAACCAACTTTTCACTATCAGAGTACCTTGTTCAGCTTTCATTTTGACATGGTTCCATGAATCACCTTTGAATAGAAGGACTGTGTCATCAGCATACGATATTAGAGTGCCATCTATATTGGAAGAGAGTAATGAATTGATGTAGGTTATGAAAAGCAATGGTCCAAGTACTGTGCCTTGTGGAACACCTATGAGAACATCTACTGGATCACTGATTTGGTTCCTAATTTTCACATGTTGATATCTATTTGTCAGGTAACTTTTAGAAACATTTAACGCGACGCCCCTCACTCCGTAATGTTCAAGAACGTTCAGAAGATTTTCATGGGGCACCGTGTCAAAAGCTTTTGCAAGGTCTAGAAATACCCCAATACATTTTTGGTTAGATTCTAAATTATCTTTTATCTGATCTATCAAATCGAACATGGCATCACTGGTGCTGGTTCCTGCCTGGAACCCATATTGCTTCTTATTTAGAATGTTCTTATCTAGTAGAAATTCACTTAACCTTTTCTTCAGGGATTTTTCAAATAAATACCACAAATAAAAGTAAGACTCACATTCTCAATGCTTTAGCCCAATGGAAATCAACATGTTCTTTTATTTCCAGGCCTGGGTGATAATCACCTTGTAGATCTTCTTCAAATCAGCGGATGGGGTATCTGTTTAGATGTTAATGGTCATTTACTTCAATAATCCAAGGACAGAAAATGGAGGTTTATCCTCAATTATTTTTCGAAAGCTATATATAGGCGGATAATAATTCTAGTACGGAAAATAAGTGACCAAACTAACTGAATAAAACAAATCGAATAGATGAAACTGTGAATTGAAACCATAAAATTATCTATAGCGATGGCCATTATCATTTCCACATATACCTCATCCACTGATTCGAAAACAATCTACAGGGTGATTATTATCCTCCACAAAAAATTGAATTACTAAATTCAGGCCTGAAAATAAAATGATCTGTTGATTTCCATTGAGCTGAAGCATTGAAAACGCAAGTCTCACTTTTATTCGTTGAAATTATGGGTTGCTACGTATTTATCTCCAAATAAATGAATTTTTAGTAAAATTTTAGTTTTTTCAGGAAGTTCATAGTTATTTTCAAACTGCAGTGAAAGTGTGACGAAGATTTGAAGTATTTTATTTTTGATGTTGATTAGTGACCCTCGAAAATTTTCTGTCACAGTTTGAGAAAACGATATACACGATGAATTTTCTGCTATAAGCTAAACTATCAAAATTTTTCGAGAGCGGTCCTGGATTTTCCCGATTCTGAATAAGTCAGTCGATTAGAGAGTAGTAGCGGATCAGACAAATCGGAGAAGATGTTGGAAAGTTATGACCAAAAGATGTTTTTGCCAAATCTCTTAATTCACCTTATATATTGGAAAAGAAGTGTTGAAGACACTTTCTGATGGACATTCGGTATTCCCCTCAGGGGCCTCAATTTGTGGTAGGAGTATGTACAGTTCCTCATGACACACCCTGTATATGTGTGAAAGAATGTTTCACGATTCATAACATTGCAACACTTTTATGTTTTTATAGGTTTCTATGGATGTCTAAATATTTGTCTGCATTTCTATATGTTTCTATGCGTTTACCAATGTTTCTATGGAATTTTGAGCGTTCTTGCAGATACTGAACGTGGTACTGCAGGAGATGTTCATGCCAGCACTGAGCTCGGTTTTGGGTACTTTCGCCAGAAAATCAGCGCGCTCTCGGAGTCTATCTGTTTCTATGCGTTTTCAAGGAGGTTCCGTGAGGTCTCATATATAATATCGAATAATCGCTGTTGTGTATTACTGTCTTCATTGAATATCTTACCACAAATCGTGACTTGACGATTGTGTTTTTCAATTCTCAAACTGCTCTCGACATGGAACGTCATTCATATATCCCTTGATCATACGTGGTGATACTGAACTAATGAGTATGAATCGCGTTAACTAATTGAACATAACACTCGTATTATGCGTTCCAACTGTTCTCTCACAGCATAAAGTTAGAATGTTACGATGTGTTACGAATGATTCCTGGTGATTTATTATACAGGGTGTCCGGAGATAAAACCGACAAAACTCATGGGGTTATAGGGACTGTCAATATGATTGCAAAATGCCATAACGAATGTCCAAAACGGCTTCGTTACTGAGATACAGGGTGATTTGTGGATTTTGACAAAACATTCAATCCGCCATATAAAATACAGGGATTAGCCGATTGGATTCAAATTTGGTACACGAATTACACTGAGAAGCGTCAACAAGTAGCCCTTTGATCGAAACCAATATCAGGACCGGAATAATATTTTTTCCCTATGTTGAGTTATTGTTAGGATAACTCACCCTGTATCATAAAAACCAAAAATTTCAACTCAGATTCGCAATCTACGGTGAGAATTGTATAGGAATTTGTTGAAAAATCTCATGGCACCATCTTAGTTTTTCCGTAATTAATTATTATTTTGATTTTTTTCATTGAAAAATCAATCATTGTCGGATAAAGTACGTATATTTACGAAACCATGACATGAATGTCGTTATTTTCATCGATCAGTTCATGAATCAGAGTAAAATGAAATATTCTCATAACCCGAAAAAACTGAAGAATAAATTCGTATCAGGACTGGAATGAGTGTTTTGTTTGGTCATGTTAGCTGACCTATTACATCAATAGTTATCAATAATCTGATCGTAGATTCGGAATCTAAAAAAATCGTATAAGAACCTGTTGAAGAAGGATTACAGTGAAGTTTTCGTAAATTATATTCACTCACTAATGAATTTGAATTTATGAGAATACTACACAACGAACAAAAACTGTTTGTAATGAACATAACAAAAGCAACGAATTCGTGAAAAACTTTCACTACCCAGTATCACAAAACATTTTTGAAGTAGAGCCCTCCAACATCAATACATTTTTGAGAGCGTGCTATTAGATGATTCACTGACTTGCGAATTATTTGAGGGTTATTTCTAACACTAACACATGCAGCAGTAATTTCCCATAAAAAATTTCTTCATTATGAACTTCTTACATTAAATGACCTCATAAAAAATAATCTAGCTGAGTTAGATCAGGGGATAGCGGTGGCCAATTTACTGAACCTCCACGGCCAATCCATCTATTGGGGTAATTGGCATCGAGATGGTTTCTAACTGGAACTGAAAAGTGAGGTCTAGCACCATCATGCTGAAACCATATACCTCAGGTATTTACACCTTGCAATAGATCCGGTCAAGTATTGACCAGGAAATTTAGGTAAACATCACCAGTTAAAGCCCAAACACAAATAGAATATCTGCGTATTCCTCATAAGTGAAATGAAACGGCATCATAAGCACACTCTCAGAACTATATAGTTTGATCCTAAAAACACTGGAATAATGAATGAACACCAATAAAACAAACGCTGATGACAGCTGAACAATGGTTTTCCATAATGAAGTTATGAATTTGACACAACCCTAGTATTCTTTATACACAAACAATATAAGGTACTGATACGGATTCATTATTTGAAAGTTCAATCCGATCATTTTTTTAAACTTTTCTCAGTGCATTTCGAATCTGCGATCAGATCATTGTTATACTAGATCATCTATTCTTACAGGAATATAATCATAGAAAACCGCATTCCAGTCCTGATACGAATTTATTTTTCAGTTTTTTCGGGTAATGAGAGTATTTTATTTTACTACGATTCACGGACTGATTGAAGAAAATAACGATATTCATGTCATGGTTTCGTTAATATTTATTATATTACCAATTTTGATAGTACTTTATCCGACAATAATTGAATTTCGAAAGAAAAAATTAAAATAATAATTAATTACGGAATAACTAAGATAGTGCCAAGAGATTTTTCAACAGATTCCTATACAATTTTCACCGTAGATGTCGAATCTGAGTTGAAATTTTTTGTTATTATTATACAGGGTGAGTTATTCTAACAATAACTCAACATAGGGGAAAAATATCATTCCGGTCCTGATATTGGTTTCGATCAAAGGGCCACTTGTTGATGCTCCTCAGTGTAATTCGTGTACCAAATTTGAATCTAATCGGTTAATCCCTGTCTTTGATATAGCGGATTGAATTTTTTGTCAAAATCCACAAATCACTCTGTATGTCAATAACGAAGCGGTTTTGGACATTGGTTTATGTCATTTTGCAATCATATTGACAGTCCCTATAACCCCACAAGTCTTGTCGGTTTTATCTCCGGACACCCTGTATGTTTTGAAAAAATGTTCTATGTTTCATTAAATTGCAACACTTCTATGTTTTTATAGGTGTCAATGAATGTCTAGATATTCTCATGCATTTCTATATGTTTCTATGAGTTTACCAATGATTTTATGGAGCTTTGAGCGTTCTTGCAGATACTGAACGTGGTACTGCAGGAGATGTTCATGCCAGCACTGAGCTCGGTTTTGGGTACTATCGCCTGAAAATCAGCGCGCTCTCGGAGTCAATATGTTTTCATGCGGTTTCAAGGAGGTTCTGTGAGGTCCTGAACAATATTGAGAAGTCGTAATATGCGTTCTTACTGTTCTCTTACCGTATTAAGTTAAGAGATGTTATACGAATATCAATGATTTCTGATGATTTATATATGTTTCGAAATAATGTTCAATGCTTTATTACATCACAACTCTCCTATTTTTATAGGTTTCTATGGATGTCTCTATATAACTATGCACTTCTATGTATTTCTAGGCCTTCACATATGAAATTTTGAGCGTTCTTGCATATACTGAACGGAGTATATGTTCATGTCAGCTCTGAGCTCGGTTCTGGATACTATCGCCTGAGAACCAGCGCGCTTTCAGAGTCTATCTGTTTCTATGCGGTTTCACGAAGGTTCCATGAGTCCTATACGATAACAAATATTCGGAATATGCATACAATTGAAGAGGATTGTTTATATTCCATACAAATCGAGTTAGGATATTATAATAATTTCTAGTGATTTATACAGAGTGTCCTGTGACCTGATCCCCATAGATTGAAGCGGTATTGCTTAAACAATTCCGAGCCCAGACTGCCTCATACACTACTGTAAAAAACTCAATAGTTGAGGAGATATGAGCGATAAAATGACAACATTGCCTGCTAGTTTCCTCAACTAATGCCTCTCGACTATTATCTCGGAGGGCACATGGAAAAGTCTAGTGTATTCAAATAAAGTAAAAACCAAAGATGAAGTAATTCAATTTGAATTTGATCAAGCAATAGAAAAATTCCCAATTCAAGAAGTATAACATTAATTTATTCAAAACATTCTCTCTGCTTCCTTCAACACATTCTGTTAAATTCAAAATTGCTCATTACTCCTCAACTATAGATTTTCTTTTCTTTCAACTTCCCGAAAATGCGATAGCATATGGTGTTAATCAAAACAGCCTTTTTGTTATTCTTTTTTTTTCACAAGGGGATAGTTTATTATAAAAATTGAATAACTTCTGAACCATTAACAATTTGATAATCACATATACCGTTAGTTCGATTGCAAATGACCCCCTATACCACCCCACTTATTTTGATACATGACTTATTTGACACCCTGTATATGTCAATACGTTCATTCGTGTACCAATGTGTATTTCTGGTACAATGTACTATCGCAAATATGTCATACCAAAATGACCATCTCGTTTTTCAACGGTCCAGTAGACCACAGGCTGTGTCTGTTGTTGAATTTCTTATAGTAGAATTTGGTTCCTTCAAGAATTTTGGTGTGTACGACTGTGTTTGGTATGGAGACCACGTACTTCTTCTTTCTTCTGTTCTTGAGAATGAGAGCCAAGAGAGGGTTATCAGAGTGATAGACGGTGACGTTGATTTCCACCCTAATTTGTCTTGCCATTTTCGGAAGGATAGCCACCCTGCTCGATTCTGCAAAATTGGGAGAATACTGAATAATACACGAAGTCATCTCCATGACAATTCATTGTAAAAACTCACAGTTTCATTGTGAATAATCTCATCAAGGGAACATGTTTTCGGACATGCGCATGTTCATCATCAGCCTAATATGGAATAACATAGTCCTACAATGAGAAAAATCTATTGAGTAAAACTAGGAATCCTTACCATACATAGCTTACATGAAGATGAAAAAATTCTTATAATGACGGAAGAGAATTAAAAAACATGAAAGTTGAATCGTTAGTTGTTTTCTAGGGGGAAAACCATGAAAACCTTCATAGATGGGCATTATGGTTCATGATAAAAAACTAAAGAGCCTCCTATAACATTTGAGGTAATTCCATGAGCAAGTTGACGGCACAATGATGAATTACTTCCATCTTGTTAAACAAACCACAAGTAAAGGCAGGAAATCACATGATCACCAGGAAAGCTATGAAAAATAATACCAGCACCTGCAGTTTTGGAATAGGCCATAAACAGCACAGCGCATTCCAGGCATTTTATTGGTTAATCTGTGAGAAATATACAACTGTAGGTATGTGTATTCATGTACAAGGATCACTATCAATACTCACAATGAAGTTGTTCTTTGCAAAGTACTTCACAGGCTGTAAAAAGTCTCTGTATGCACTTAAATTCACAATGGTTAGGAGGCTTCGAAAGTCTCATTCCTCTTGCTACAATCTGTAATTCAATGGTTGATAGCTGATGAGTGATCACTCATAAATAAAAAACATAAACAATTTTCCACGAATCACTCAAATCACACAAAGAAACCTTGGGAAGCTTTGAAAGATGTAAAATTAGCGCGCGTTTGCTAATATTTCAGCCATGTTTGTTTATGTTTTGTGTATTATTTCGACCAATAGGATCACGGCATGATCACAGAAAACAAAAGAGATGCGAAAGGCATCAGCATGACGTCACATTTTAGGGAATGCATTGGAAGATAGGGATCTAGCACTCCTTCTCTGTATACTCTCCTTGAGCCAGTACAGCTTTGTTTGGCTGATTCCATTTGTCACTTAATTGACATATGTAGTTTGTCTTGGTGATAATGTGATTTCCTGCCTCCACTTGTGGTTTGTTTAACAAGATGGAAGTCAAAAGATGGTTATCCCCCTAGAAAAAAACTAACCATTTAACTTTTATGTTTTTAAATTCTCTACTTTTAATATAAGAATTCTTCCACCTCCATGTGAGCTATTTATGGTGAGGATTCCTCGTGTTACCTAATTGATTTTTCTCATTGTAGGACTATGTAATTTCTAATTAGGCTGATATGATGGACATACGTATGTTGATGTGATTATTCACAATGAACCCGTGAGTTTCCACAATAAATTGTCGTGGAGATGACTTTGTGTATTTTTCAGTGTTAACCTAACTGTACTCCACTTTGAGAAACGATGGACTTCTACCAGAAATTAGGATAATGAGAGTTTTGGAGAGAGGAAAAAAAAATAATTTTCAGAATGATTTTACCTCTCCTTAGTTTTCTATTCAGAGTCGATTTCATCTCTGAACATCCAGAATTATCACCTCCGCATACTCCACACCTGTCTCTTTCCTTCGTTGAATGCAGAACTCCATCACAGCCAACTACTTGACATTGCCCCTGAGAAAATTTGGTGATTAGATTCGTTTGATGCTTGACTTCACTAACTTTTTTGATGATTCTTATATTTTACATCTCTACCTGAAGTATGTTTCGTGATTTGATCACTCGAATCACGAATTTCTAAGTGTTTTCAAATTTTTTCAATATTGAATCTCTTTCAATATATTGAGAGGAGTATTGTTGTGGATAAACAAAGGTTTTGGGATGATGAGTTTCTATGAAGCACCTCAAGAGATCACTCATTCAGATCACTTTTCAACTCTGGAAAATTATACTGAAGATTTCTGAATGTTTTTCCGAACAAGGAAAGGACAAGTTGTGAATTTATTATAGCTCGAAGACACAAAATCACTCGAAATTTCTATTTTACATCAGTCAAGCTTCTACAAGAGTCCTTTGGACTCAATAATTATAAGTTGATTGTTCCTGAATCATTTGGATATTGTCTAGAGAACAGCAAGAACACTTATTATTCAGTTGCGCATTTGCATGCTGAACAATTATCTACAAGAAAATTTGATATACAATTTTTAATTTTTTAATTATTGAAAGAAAACGGAACATTTTCGCTTTCTGTTTTCATTCTTTGGACTTTTCTGACTGGGACATTCTTAGGGCACTTTTCCACAAGGAATTTGAATCTGTCATTGTATTTTCCATGACGTTCTTGATGCCACAAAGTTACAACACTCAACTTCGGTTTTTCTAATGGGTGCCATATTGGATTTTCTCATTTTTGAAAAGTCTTTCTTTTACTGATCACAATGATGTATCACACGATATGATTGAATTTTACATGCTGATCAAAATTGGAAAAAAAATTTTTTGTGAACACAGAGAAAAACGGTCCAGGTACACAAGTACACTTGAGTGAAATTTAATACCCACAAATATATTAATGAACTTTTGTACCATTACAATAGGTGAATTTTTTTTTCTGATATCGACTTCCAGTGGCAGGTTAACTATGCTCCTGGAACAGGCCATCTTTCTTGTGCTTGATTAATTTTTATCGATGTGTTTAATACAGTATACAACAATCCACCTAACATTAATATAATTGTCCCTCAATCCTTGTTTTCTATGAGTGGAAGAAATAATTCTGTCATTATTACCAGTTTAATAACTACAGGTAACAGTTCACTTGATTTTTCTGTTTCGTCATCATTCGGCTAGTTTCGAATACCCACGATTACGCCACGAGCTGACTGCGCATTTGCGCAACTCTTCTGCACTTCATTCCATTAATGAACTCAGTCTGTATCTGTACTAAGAATATGTACCTTTGGTGTTTGCGAACACTTATGCGTGCCTTTTTCTATTCTGGAACATTTGTTTTGTGCATGTAAGTTAAGTGATTGTGACTATTCCAAAAACATTTCTCCCAGTGAAATTATCACTATGGAGCGACTAGCCTCAGGTCGAGAGTTGAAAAATAGAAGCAGCATAAGCAGTTCATCGACGACACTTTGAAACAGCATCATTTGGCGAAGTTTACGCAAAACTCTTCTTTCTTTCTTGGTGAGTAATATACAATTCCTTTTTCTCCGTGCATGAAGAAATCTTTTTGGGCACACACGTTTTTTAGTGATATGTTTTTCTCCTTCCGAAAATGATTCTAAGCCCTCTAGTTTCTTATGTTGGTTGATCATTTGCAATTAATTGTTACATCTGATATCATATGCCCGTTTTATTCGTGGTTCGTGCCATTTATTTTTCATTTGAAGAGGTTATATATTGAAAATTACTCCTATTCTGGTTGTGGCTTCTCAATATTTTCAACGAGTGTGCTCTATGGTGTCAAAATTTCAGTAGGAAGTCAGTTGTTGAGTAGTTTATATTTTGTTGAAGATTAAAAAAATATATAATCTCAGAAAAATAAATGAATTGACCTCAAGTTATTACCGAAACAGGGGAGTTTTTATGGTTATTTTTCACAAAAGCCAAGAAATAAATTGGGAAATATCAAAATGAAAAGACTGTCTACTGTGAATGTTTGCAAAAAATCTTATTTCTCATAGAAGGTACACGGGAAAAAATTTCAGGTAACGGTTCTTGATTTTTCTTATTCGGTGTCTTTAGATTTGAGTCAAAGTGAAGTTTTATGAAGAATGGCCTTACTTGGATGGGTTCAGGGGACGTTCGCTACATGTTAACGGTTTATTCTTCCAATGAATCTCTTGAAATAGGATTATTTGTTTGAATTGTTAAGAAAATAATAGGAGAAATTCAACATATATTATATAGAGGAATTTTCAAATTTCAGGGTGCTGATGGTAATGATGTACCCGATTAGAACTTGATGCCAGTTGATCTAAATTCAAGTGGACCTAGTACCCCCGCGGCCCGCAGATACTCCATCAACGTCTGAAATATATTTGTATATGAGTCAGTTCGACAACTATTGTATATTGAAAATAATTATTTCAAGTTCATTTTTTTATGTAGTTTGTTCTGAAATTACAAATGACTAGAATATATTATATAATGTACCTATATTTTGTATCAATGTTTTTTTTCTTCTATAGAATCACCATCCCCATTGTGTGATACCTTGAAAATATGAAACATTTCTTGCTCCAATATTCAGCAATAAGCACATATCCATCCAAATTGAACTATATGTAACAGCTTTCAAAAAATTGATTCTGTAATGTTGATAAATGATGAATAGTTAACCAGAAACCTAATGATTTGATTTTTCGCATTCATCATTTTTTGTTTTACAGGAATAAATCTATATACGGGTCTGCACCATCTGAAAAAGTGGACCAGAAATGATCATTCTGATTCATGATTTTTAATGTTTTTCGCGGGTGCACTTGATACTCGTAGACAATATCTTTATGATGTTTCCTATATCCAGGCCATTAAAAATCAGGAATCAGAATGATCGTTTCTGGACTCCTTTTTCAGGTATTCACATTGCGCATCCCCAATATTTCAATTAAATTGCACATCTGTGATGATTTAATTATGTTCCAGAGACGAGTTATTTATGATCGAAGGACAACTAAATAATGTTTCTGGAATAATTGTATTCTTCAGTGGTAGTAATTAAACGATGTACCCAACATCAGGTAGATATATCTCAGAGAATATCACCTATTTTTCCGCAACAGCATGCTTTTCTACCTGTGGCAACTATATAGTATTGCAAATTTATTAAACTGTTGAATAACTATCATCGAAGTATGAACCTACAACAGGTGAAGAAGTCTCTAAGATAATATGGCAATGTTTCAAAGGGAATCATTTGATGTTCAATGGTAATTAAACTGTCTAATCAATGTTATTCAACACTTTAATAATCCTGAGTTGATTTCAAATATATTTATTTATTAACGATCAATGAACTATATAATTGAGTGTCTGTTGCAGGTATACCGATTCAGGAAAAATATTTTATCTACCACTATCATACTGTATATCTGTCCCATATAGTATTCAAGTTTTTAACTGTGACTATTAAATGTTTAATAACCATTATTAAAGTTTTTTCTCTGTGAAGAGTGCTTAAGAAGACGTCTCGCGAGTAATTCAGAATCTGAGGGAATGCCTAGAATTTTGTTTAGAAGTGGAAGGTGGAGTATTCGAGCATCTTTTATCACTGTGTGCTTTTTTTTGCGAAGAATACACTTACAGCTCATTACGTCGTTCCTAATTCAAAACCATAGTTTTCATGGAGGTGAGCTTGACGAAAATGTGAACGTTCCAGATCCAAATTAAATCAAAATGTCTTAATTCAGTTTGTTAAACAAAATTGTTGTCGTTTTTTCTGGAGCACACTTTACAAGAATATTGTTTTCTCAATTTCGATGAAAAGGTGAGATTTGATCATATCGTGTGATACATCATTATAATTGAAAAAAAAGAGTTTCTAAAATTGCAAAATTCAATATGGCGCCCATAAGCAACAAAGTTTAGTATTGTAACTTTGGCATCAAGAATAAATACGATGATAGATTTAGATTCCTTGTAAAAAAGTGCCTCAAGAATGCCTCAGTCAGAAACGTCTAGGTCATTCAGTTTTTGCTTGCTCGTTTTCTTCCAATAATTCAAAAACCGAAAATTTCACATCAAATTTCCTTGCAGATAATTGTTCAGGATAAAAATGCTCAACTTTGACCTTGTATCTCTTATAATAGCCGATATCCTCAAGGTGGAGCTTTGAAAACGGGCACCATGTATATCGAGAGCATTCGACCGTGTTCGACACCAGGGACTTCGTCATAAACTACCATCATATGACTTTCCATCGCAGGTATGCCTTTTTCATCGAGGTTTCTTTCAGACAGATCCATCCTTGTGGTAGTGGAGGAAGTTATCGTCTGCTACAAAAGCCATCAATTTTGGCGTCCCACAAGAATTCATTTAGGCTCCAAGATTGTGTCTACCCCATATCAATGATCTCGTCAATGATCTATTGAGAGTAGTTCAATTCAATGGCACCAAAACTCAATACTGAATTTTTCTCAAAGCTCATAAAAGAACATACCTATAATGCTTGAAGAACATCGCGCGTACCTAGGTAGGACAGAGCGAGGGGGTTCTGTGTTGGATTTATTTTCAACTTTTAGAGGTAACTTCTATTGGGAATGAATTCCAAAGCTCCGCCGTCCTATAGACCAACGAGTTGTGATAGAGGTAAGTTGAAATGGTTCATAAATATGATTATTGTGGTCAATAACTCAACATAAATAAGGTGAAAATATGCAAAACATGATAATCGTCATATCATAAATAAGTATGGAGGAGCACCAAAATGAATTTTGTTAGATTTCTCGAGAATCAAGAAAAAATTTAGGACCACTGCAGTTAGAAAAAATGAAGATCATTGAGTTTCTCCACCACTAGTTCTAGAATTCACTATATTTACTCCTTTTCAAGGCGTAAAGTGGGTTTTTACTACCAAGGTAGTTTCCGTAATTTCAGGAGCCACTAGTCATTGAAGACATAGCCACCTCTGATATCAACCTGAATTCACTGTTCTCATGAACATTATAGGGATTCCCTTTCGTGCGCTTCAATCGATAAAAAAAAAATATGCTGTCATGGTCATGGCTTCTAGATTTCAATCAGAATTGAGGAGAAGTGCTTTTATAGTGACAATAGGTCCATAGTTCAGTTTCACAGAACTATTTATAGTAATTGAAATATACTGCTAGTGGTGAAACAAATTTAATATACATCTTGGTAGTGAAAGAATAATATTACCACGGGACCATATATACTCCTTAGCTGAAGCCTCGGGAAATAATCTTGATATTATATTCCACCTTGATGTATTAATAACTATTGAAATTCATTGAGATACCAGATGAAGTCAGTGCCATACTCCAGAAGAGTTAAATCAATTTTTAGAGAAAGAAAACGCGAAATACCTAACTACCTGTACATTGATTAAATTGGTACGACAATTTTTTCCGAACACATTCACTATAGTTAACTGTCCTACTAATCTCAGAGCATAAACCTGCTTTCAAGGATTTCGAAATATTGAAGAGAATCTGGAAATAAAATTGTTCTCCATTGCCTTCTCACGGCTCAACGGTGTATTCCTGCGTTAGTAAGTTGATTTCAATCGGCCTATCTTCCATAGCTACTCAACAGTGATATCCCAATGTTCTGAATATTCGAGAAAATTCTGAAACCGTGTTGAAACGAAATTCAGGACGAGTGTTGAATATATAGGTATATGACAACACAATTAGGTTAGCAATGAGACAGAATAATGAGATGATACTAAGAACAGCGTGGTATTGTGCTGAACTATCTCACGAAGCATAAGGAGCAATCATTATGAATGAACAAGCATCTACAGCTATGATTATTTTATGTCAAAGTGGCAGACTTTTTTTCGCTATCCATGATTACATCGTTGAAAACAGCAATACTGTTGGACCAATCAGACTCGAAAGACAGCTAGTGTTTTCGCGATAATACAAGTTGTCTTTGGAAGAGTCACCTGAACACAAATATTGTCCTCATTGTCATAGGAGCAAGGTGTACCATCTATCAAATTTTCAGAGCTGATATAAAGTTCTTTCCTCTCAGCATTCAGACAAATAAACTTGCACTTCTTAGCATCTGCAACAGATAATCATTAACAAGATTGAAACATCTTGGTTACTCAGAATATACAGGGTGTCCCGTGACTCGATAGCCATAGCTTGAGGGCATATTTTTTGAACAAATTTGAGTCGAAAGTGTCTCAAACTCGATAGTTAAGGAAGTGAGATTGAATATCAACTTTGCTCACCAGTAGAGTTCAAGGGGCAGTCCAGTTTTTTGGCCACCGATGTCACCTGACCACTATATATCATCTTTGGGTTCCAATTAAAAAACTTCTGTAGTCAAATGAACCACAAACCAGAGATGAGCTAATTTATGAAAATTGTGACTACAGCTGCATCCACAAGAGAAGTCCCAGATACTTTTCAGAGAGCAACGTTTTCAATAATTCAGATGAGCTAGAATGTGTTGGGAAGCAGCAGGAGGAAGGCATTTTGAACAATTATATTTGTGTTAGTAATCAAAAAATTTTAAATTGATGCAATAAAACATAACTTTATTCAACATTCTATTTGCACCCCATTACACACTTCTGTGAGATTTGATATTTCTCATTACTCCCCAACCATAGAGTTTCGGACAGAAGTGTATATGGCACTTTCGACTTGGAATTATTCAATGAATATGCCCTCGAGGTATGAGCAAAAACTTGGAAAATCTGGTGAACTTGGGTAATTATATGTTTATTATATACCGGGTGACATAGGAGACATTTAGCAGCCTGTAGTTTTTTTATTTGAAGAGATAAGATTTTGAAATTCACAGGGGGTATATAATAAATGGTAGCGCACTTCACGAACTTATTTTCAACCACCTTTTCGTTTCTTGGATACATTTTCAGTCTCTATTGATAATATGCAATTTTGATCAACACACAAATGAAGAAGAAAAATTATTGATGCAATCGATTAACTGTCAAACACATGAAACATTTTGTGTAGGTACACCGTCTACTAAGTGGAATAATTATAAAAAAATAGACTGATAGCCCTGTGGATCATCGTATAAGAGGAACAATTTAAGTTTTATTATTCCAAATGGGAAGATCATGTGATAGGTACATGGCGAAAATAAAAGACAGATAGTTTCTGTACGAGTAGCTGAATTCGAAAAATATGTTCCTTTCTTAGATTCCTCAATATCATGAGTTATTTTCGAAGGTTTTCATCTTGACTCAAACAAGCTATTCACAACCTGCAGACAATGGTCAGAATATCGAAACATTTTGAATAATATCGGTTCACTAATGATATTCAAAGCAAAGCCTACCAAGTGTCGATATATCATCGAATTCATGTCACAGCCAACTTATTCTTTTTGAATAAAAAGCAATTCAACAGCGGATTAAGGAATAAATGCCACTTTGTGATACATGATTGGATAGAAAATTCCAAGGCGAGAAAGATATACTGAAGAAATGTACAGGGTGACTTTTAAAAAAAAAGTTGGGGTCACTTCCGGTCAAACAGGTGGTTGAAAAAAATTGGCGTTAAGTTCGTAAAGTGCGCTACCATCTATTATATACCCCCTGTGAATTTCAAAATTCAATCTCTTCGAATAAAAAAACTACAGGCTGCTACATGTCTCCTCTGTCACCCGGTATATATTATATGCATTCGATGAATTCAGTAAATACTGTAGCGACAATGACCTTGTCTGCAATATAAAGAAAATCAATTCCATTAATTTCTTATCCAAAAACGGTACCTCAAACCCAGATCTAATGAACAACATCAACATGTCGTGTGGTTGAAACCCTGCAATACTGCCAGTTAGCTATATTTTCAGGAATAATTCTGCATCAGAAGCTAACATGCGAGGAGGAGCTATAAAACTCATGTATTATAGACTAATGAAATCTATGGATCGATCTTCTGGGGTGAGAGTCTGCCCATACTAACCGCAATTTTAAGGTTCCAGAAAGATTCGTTCGCTGTATGGACAATTTACACTATTTAAAAAATTCAACATCTTACCATTGCCGTGCCTCTACATAATACAGCTAGTGTTATTAATCTATAATCTATATGATAATAAACACCTATATTCAAAAAACTCTGATATACATGATCACACCACTCGGGGTGAAGATACTCCATACCAACCCCATCTCTCTCTCTCATCAGAATTCCCAAAAATATTTGGGTATCAAAGGCTTCAATAAAATTACAACTTTTAAAAGGATCAATAAGAGTAGAACTGTAATGAGCAATGAACTATATGGTTTCTTGTTGGATAACTGCTCTTACAATATGGATGAATTTCTTGCTCTCAGTGCTAGATACTTTCTTTTATTCATGTAGTCTTTTTTTAATTTGTTCAAGATCGAAAATTTGTGTTTCAGCTTTTTACTCTTTTGACTAGTCCAATAAGATTTTTTACGTATTTAATTTTGTAATTGTGTATGTGTGAAAATTTAAGTAATGAATAAAACATGTTTTTTCTATTTCATCGAGTCACGGGACACCATGTATAAGTACTTTCGTCACTCTCGTAAGGAAGCCAGGTGAAGTTCAGATGTCGATTTCCCTCTGAATCGAAAAGTGCCGGCAGCTGTTTGCATTGCTGAGCCCGCATGTCCATTAGCGGCTCGAGACATTCCTGATCCCTGCAGATACTCCATTCCTCTGATTTCCCCACGCACTGCTTTCCGCCATAAGATGGCCTGTAAAGAATTCACTGACCTATATAAAGGATCAATTACACTTTGACAAAAGTGTTCGCACAAAATTCCAGTGGAAAAGTAGCCAAAAGTGATCATGAGTATCATGACGCCGAAACAGCTATTTAAACGCTTATATACTGGTACAATGAAGTAGACTAATTGTGGCTTGCCTAACTTTTATATATCCTACTTTCCCAACCTGAAAGATTAGTTACCTGTGGATAATTTCGATAAATCTTCATTTTCGGAAATAAGGCACAATATCTACATTAAAATACAGTGTACCGGATTTACTTGAAAGGGTTGATTGCAAATACATATTATCACTAAGAGAACAAATTCAACAGTGGTGAACTATTGAGGTCTATGTAGTCATTGTCGATCTAAATGGAAACCTAGTTAGGTAGTTAGTAGGCGAGAGCATAATATTGTCTGTTCTTTGAAAAAATAAATGAAGGCGTTCACAAGGTTGGTAGAACTGATTATAATTTGTATAGGAAGGTTGCCTCGATCGATAGTGCGGCAAGGGGGGAAACGGTCACTCGTGACGTCACAGGCAGTAAGACGACAAGTTGTCAACCTTAAAGCGACATGTCATGAAATGTTTACCAAATAGAGTATACAAACATGATACAAACTTTTTGGTCTGCTCAGCACATTTATATTAATTTATAGTATATAATTATAAGTAAGTACCATTATAAAATATGGATATTCACATATACTTCTGTATAATACCTTCAATCTTCGAAATGAGAAGGCAATTTTGGATGGATCAGTAGTACAGAGAGGAATACCTATCTGAAATTTTGTTCCAGGGGCTATTTACCAGGTCGTGGTACCAGGTATGTGTGTTTTGAGGTATGGAGCATAATTATGGAGCTAGTGATTACTTATGCATTGATTATGAACCTACTCATCCTATAAATATCCTGCAAATCAGATAATGTGAACAAGAAACTACAGAAAATATAAGAATAATCAACTGATGATCCAGAAGTAGTAGCAGTGGATCAATATTCGTACACAACAGATCACTTATTTTATCAATATAACTCTGTATTCTGAAAAATTCACAAACTTTCCTAGATACCTATAGAAAATACAAGAGGAAATAGTATTTCATTGTTTGATTATATTGTAGTCGAAAACAGAGCACTTGATCGAAGTATTTGATCATAAAAAAATAACAAAATATGATTCTGAACAAAATTAATGAAAAATAACACTACTATTATAAGTGAACCTATAATAAAGGATAGTTGAAGAAATCTCTCAAATAAACATAGCTCCTCTTCGTTGGGTAACGTACTCTTGCTCAAATATCTCAACTTGAAAACACGTGTGATATCTTCTGATGTCCATTTTACCCGTTCAGCAAGAATCTCAACATTCACAACTGGTCTGGTTCTGATCATTTTTCCAAACTTCCATACTTATGGTGTTTCTCTTGTTGTATTTGGTATTATTGATGGGATTCCTACCTTGAGTTTTCTTCTCTTTGGTGTGTGATTTAGCAATTCTGCTTGTGCCGTTCAAAATCCTCGGCATCGAAATGGGCAGAACATATTCGCCAAGTTTTGGTATTGAATGAATTGAAATTACGTCCACAAAATTGAATCTATTTCTCACGAATCGACTCATCTTATGGAAATTAATGGAAACACAAACTAAATTCACTAGTCTCATTACACTTGTACGAATTATAACAAGAAGTGACCGAACAAATTATCATTTTTACATTTTTAAGTTCAAAATGGTTCAAATATTCGAAAATACTGACAAATGTCAACTCAATACATGCGCCGGCCAATCGCCGGCATACATATCATACACGAAGTGTACGAGAGTGCTACACTTTTCGTGCAAAAGAAAGGGCCTATTACGTCATGAGTTACTCAAGGTTACTCGCGGGGTGCGATCGAGGCAACCTTCCTCTACAAAATAGTCATCAGTTCTACCAACCTTGGGCGTTCAGTAGTACAGAGACATCAATGTGAACCAAGTAAACTAAGTTATTCATTTGTCAGACCTAACCGTAACATTTTTCATGGTCCTGTCAAGTTTGTAAATAAAAATCTGTCATGTGGAATCCCGAAAATGAAACATTATCACGAAGGATATTATCAAGTATGAAAACCATCTACCTATACTTGAATGGAAGCAGGAAGATGTTTAGGCAATGCTGTATTAGTATGATTCATGATGCAACTTGAATTTAAGTTGGAACTGTGGAAACTTCGGAAACTCAATAGTGCTATTACACTTTTTCGACATGCAAGCCAAGCAGAAAGGTAGGGGCTGCTTTTTTCCTTCTATATTTTTGATAAGTTACTCTATAATTCGTGAAATTCCATTATTTGCAGTGAAAACATGTCTTTAGTGATGTAAACCATGTACACATCGGAATCACTATATACTTGAAAATTTCAGGTACCTACCTACAGCGAAGAGTACTTACATTATTAGCTTTTCAGTTGAAAAACGGAAAACTATGAGTGATGTGGAAGTATCACATTAGAAATCATTATCTGAGTAATGTTCAGAAGGAATGTACCAGAAGGATGATGATGTTCCAGAACAGAATGGAAAATTTACCATCTGAAATAAATATATAGAAGCACTAAGGTTAGACTCAATCTGGTTATTTCATCAATGTCTCATGGATATTCTGCTCCAAACACAAAATATCATTATATTTTTTATAGATAGGTACCTCCTTGAAAGTCGAGCTGCAAAAATATCCAGTTCACAAGATTTTATGAAAAAACACAAGAGGGAATGGGGCAGTGAATAAAATCAGAAACTTCTCATCCTGTAGTTCGATGAGCTGAATCCAGATAAGCAGTAAGAACAACGATTTGTTTGCTGGAAATAGCCAGGCATTTCATTCTAGGCTACAAATACACACCAATGTATATTCAATTTATCCATTTTTCAAGCAATCAATTAGATGATGAGGAACATGTGATATTCCACTCCAGCACACTCAGGACCATTTTCGTAGTGAGCCACTCAGAATTTCACTAGAGTAAAGTGATTTCAAGATTGTATAGGAATCATCCTCAGATATATGGTATTCTATTGTTCAGGGTTCTTTGTCAAGATGCTGGGATATTTAGAATTTGTTATTGGAATATAACTTGTATGTATTGTATGAATGGCAATACAATTTAATTTTTTTAATAAATTGTACATAATTATGAAGAAATATTTCAATTTTTATTCTACTATATAGTTTGTTCTCTTCTGATACCCTGTTTATTGTTGTACAGATATATTGGCAGATAAGTTTGAAAACACTATATATGTATATTGTACAAATATTGTATATAGGTGAAGTATTTTTGGAGTAAAACAATGATTATTTTTTATTAAATCATCTTATTGAAGCTACGAACTTCACTAAATATGAGAAGATGTGTCTATTATAGGCACAAATTAAACCACAGGAATATTCAATACCAATATTATGTATCTTTTTAATTTATATTTAAGTCAACATTTTGAATGAACTTTATTATTATTTATTATCATTCTATAATATCTGTTCAAATGCCCGTTTCCTCCTCAGATGCTTCTTCATCGTCAGGTCCTGTTCCTTAAGGCAGGAATTCCTCTTCAGCATCATATTCCAAACAACATTGCCGAGTCTGAAAATATAAAAATATTGTCCCTAGTTTCAATGTCCTGTACCATTCTGAAATGAATTTAATGACTTTTGACTATGGAACAACTTCTAGAGGAACCAAAGTCAAGTTCTTGGTGAATTTCATACCGAAACTAATAATTAGTTAGTTAGTATAGGTACAAATTTGTTAAATAGGTACCATTTTATTTATATATTTCTACCTTGAACAAACTTGGGACCATACTCTCTTTCCAAAACCGTTTCCTATTCTTCATTGGCAAGAAACAGTTCCCTTAAAATGTTGGAAACATATAGTATCATGTTCGCTTACTTCAAAAACTCACATTCCTGAAATATAAATATCATTAAGTTCCAAATATTATGTGATTCAAGAAAAAAAGTTCACCTTGGCGTGAACCCATTGACGCCTCAGGATTTGAGGCTCAAATTCACAACAGTGGGGATTGGGGAAACCATGTCTTGATAATTCAATTACACCTTCACCTCCTGGAGTGCGCAGTTTTCAGATGACATTGCAAAATAACACAATCGCACTCACAAACCAATCAACAAACTCTGATAGAAAACCAATACTAGAAGAAATGATTAGGTATAGGTATAATTGTAATTTCCAAGAAAGGAAATCAAAGTTCAACACATCCACAAAGACGAAGTTATAAGTTAATGACAACTGTCAGAAAATAATTTTATGATTACATGAATCTTCTCCATCGTCTTCCTATCAAATATCACGTCAATGATGGAAAGCACGTCTGTGGTTGAGTACATATTGGAGAAAAATAGAAGAAGAGAATATCAACCTAATATGGTCTATTTTAACAGAAACAAATGAGCTTTTTCCATTTTCAGGATGCCAGCGCCACTTGACAGGCAGACAGATTTTGATTCAAAGAACAGACAATATTGTACCTCCTCGCGTACTAGGTCGCCTACTAGGTTTTCATTTAGATCGACAATGATGTAGTTGATCGTTGAGTGAAATGTCAGAATTTTTGAATTTGTTGATTTCTAATGAATTCAAATTGATTGAGTTTCATTCATTCATTTTCTACGTGTAGAATTTCGGAATTATCATCAAAAGTATGGTTTTCTTCTGATTTATGGTTGGCGTATGTTGAGTTCGTTTTTTTTTTTAAAAAAATGCATCTATTTTTATTTATTTATTTACGAATATGGGGGTTACAAACAGATTGAACAATCCAAAACAAAACCCTCTACTTAATAAATCAGTTAGTGGGTCATTTTATTTTATTTCAGTTATTGCATTACATTCTTTTCTTCATTGATACATTTCATACAAATAATATATAAAGTATAATTAATTTTCTAGTAGGAATGACATGAATGATCAGACAGTAATTCCTGGTATAAGATCATTCATGAAGTATTATCGACTGTTGATGTATAATTGAAATTACAAATAGTGAACAAAACTTACATATCATGAATACGCTAATTAAACGTACGACCTGTCTGACCGATATTTACCTATCAGGACAAGATCCACAGTTGAGTTTGTATTCTCCTGATTTTTTGAATTTTGAAGTTTTGTCTTTGTTATTCTTTCTGATGGTAGGATGAACTCCTTGAATAGCTATATCATGGAGTTTTTTAGAAAGGATACTGTCTATCGAATTAACGTTGTATCCGTTGTTGACTGTAATCTGTTTCATGATATTGACTTCTTTATCGAAATTTACTTCCGAAAAAGAGGCATTCAATAGCCTTCACTGTGTATCGTACTTTTATTTGCTGCAATTTTATGTTGATGAGGGTGTGTTGAATTATTTTGAATAGTGATATGAGTGTCACTTATTGTCAAATCCAAGAAATTGATTGATATTTTGGTTCCCATTTCCATTGTGAATTTTATGTTTGGATGAATAGTATAAATATATTGGTGAAAAGTGTCTAATTGTCTATTGGTTCCTTCAAAGCATACTATAACGTCATCTACGTGTCTATACCAATGCAAAAATTGTATTATCAATGAATATTTATGTATTATTCGCTCCAACTCATCCATGAAACTTTCAGCGAGTAAAGGGCTCAGTGGATTTCCCATAATCAACCCTTTTGACGCGGAATATATTTTGATGTCAAATTGTTCATTGTACCAGTACAATTACCTGATCAAGCTACTGTGTTTTAGCAAAACATGTCGAAGTGTTTGAGATTTGTGCCATGGGATTCCATCAAGTTACGGCCGAGTCAATCCAAAATGAACATAACCTTACTAAAGATGCCCTCGATCCACGTGAGTCAAGTCACAGCATATTTTCGAGAAAAAAAAAAGAAAACGGTTTACGTTGAACTGGTTTTCGAAACTATAGGTAATAATTAGAATATGATAATATTCAAACCCCAACTGAAAAAAGGCTACTGGTACACTTACGGAGGACTGTCGCATTTCCTGGTCCGGAATCTGACCCCCGCCCCGCACGGCCGGGAGCACACTCCCCAAGGTCCCCACTCGCCCCACTCTCCGTGTTGGGGGTTCAGCACTATCGGCCCCCTCTCCACCCTACGGTTAGCGAAGTCCTCGCAGTAGCCGTTCATACACCACTGCGGAAGAGATCGTCGGGATCAGAATAATTTCGAGGTTTAATACAAGGTGTTCCATTGGGAAACGGAAAAACTTCAACGGTGGATTTTAAACAAGAATATATCACCCAATTGCTATGCATTGACAATGGTATTTCAGTAGGTGGTGATTGTGCAAATGCTTTCAATTAATTTTTCTGTCTCTATAGCTTCACAAGTCACTTGTGACCTCTCATCTACTGTAGACTACGCATATATTGATACCTGCATCAGCGCCTCTATCAAAAATATATTTTGTGCACCAGTGCAATGTGAAGATGTGATGAAAGCTATTAGAGATTGAAAGAATACAAATTGTTCAGGGTATGATGGTGTATCGAATGTGCTGTAGAAGGAAATCGCTGAACACACTGCTGTACCTCTCACTCACATTATCAATTCATAGCTTCAAAAAGGTGTATTTTCTTCTAGGTTGAAGATATCCAATATCATTTCTCTCCACAGAAGAGGTGATTGAAATACTATGGATAATTTTAGGGCTATTACCTACTTTATGCTCAAGCATAAGCAAAATTTTCGAAGCTATCGTTAACAAAAATATAATTAACTTTTTGACATTCAATGGTAACTTGTCTATATGTCAACATGGTTTCACGAAGAATAAAAACACTGACACTGCACTTCGTGAATTTTCAAACTATACATATAAAGCTCTCGATGATGAACAAGTGGCACTGGGGTTATCTTTAGATTTTTCCGAGGCATTTGACTGTGTTCAGCATGATAATCTTCTCTAAAAATTTGAGAGATATGGAATTCGTGGGGTTACTCTTCAATGGTTTGCATCATATCTGACGGATAGACAACAGCAGGTTGAATGTAACAACTATATTTCTCTTTGGTAGAAGTCCATTTTGCTCAAAGTGGAGTGAAATATTTCACAGGAAGGAAGGAATGCTCGAAGTCATCTCCACAAAATTTAATGATATTTTTAACTAAATCATGAGGGACATGTTTCCAATAGTTGTAATAGATATTGGTAAATGCCTATGCTAATGGTCAGATTTTAATGTTTTATCCCTTGACACTGACATTGACTCTATGTCAACGTCTTGTCCATGTCTTCAATTGACATAATTTTCAGCGTGTTCTAACCAAATTAGTTTAGATTTGAAACACGTGCTGGCTGCTTGCCTCATCAATTTTATTGATATTTGCCTTTAAATAACGCCTTCATAAGGGAACGGGAAACCCCTTTTTTAAAAACCCGCTTGTTTATGTTGTTGTCAGATAATAAAATGTTTGACAATACCCTTCATATACCATTTTGGGTATATGAAATGTTCATTAATAAAACATAGTATACGCTCTCAGGGTACGGGGCCCTTCATTTATTGAGAACCCGTTTATTCAGAACTTTGGAACTCTCGACTATGGGCATTGGCAGTTCAAGGAATAGTAGCATTTAATAAAATAATTTTTTCAACTCCAAGTGGGTCTATCATAAAATAGGTAATCCTTTCATTTCAATATTATTTGTTTTTGTATTGTGGACCTTTCAATTAGGCTGAAGATGGTCTTTTATAAGACCGAAACATGTCCCTCATGATTTAGTTTAAAATATCATTAAAATTTGTGGAGATGACTTCGAGCATTCCTTCCTTCCTGTGAACTATATTTCTGATTTGAAATCTACAATAGGTGTGCCTCAAGGATCCATTCTTGGTCCAACACTCTTCATTATATATATCAACGATTTGATTTGATTCATTTCAGACACTGTTAATGATGCCAAAAAACAGGCCGAACTAGTTTACATGAATGTTTGCGAGTGCATGGGTTGATGTGAACAAGCTTTGTCTGAATAATGATAAATCGACTCGTATCATTTTCGGTTCAGAATATCCTAATCACATAACTTTTGATAATACAGAAATTGCCTGCACACTCAATACTAAATTGCTTGGTGTCATTTTAGAAAGTAACCTGGAGTGGTATGAACATGTAGATAGTTTGTGTTCGAAGCCAGCCGACATGTGAGGAAACCCACATGAATGTTAGCTCTCCAGAGGTAGAGCTGATCGAAGCAATGTGGTTCTTGATGGTCTTGATCGAGGGATTGTCAGAATATATTTGTTGCATGCCTTTCAAGTGGACTCAGCGAGTCTATTAGGATTAATGCTTTCTGTATTCCTTTGTCAACAACAAACTTGGTTGCTTGCAGAATTGCGAATAGTTTTCCACTGTAGATGCTGCATACCGGGGATAACTTGAAGCCTCATGATGTATCTAGTCTCCAGATTTCGGATTTCACACCTTCGATCGACTTGAATGATGATTCGTTTCGGACTTATTGAAGGTGGTAAGATGTAGGTTGCAGGGTGGCAATGTGAATGACAATGGAAGTTTTCAAGACAATGAATGTCCTTCTAATAACCACATTGGGCCCATTCTCTGGGACTTCTACATTGTATTCCTCTTGATATGGTTACTTTCTCGAATAGACTTCGTCGTGATGTTTCTCGATGACGATCTTATCATCAAGAAATTCAACACATTTTGTGGTAATGACATTGTAACTATTTATTATTATCCTGAAATTATTAGCACTGCATATCAAATGTTTTGTTAACGAAGCAAAGTCTTGAAATAAATACGTTCAGAATGGAAACATATTCCAATTTGCAATCTGGGACTTTGTGAAATTGCCATGTGATGTAACGTGTTGGATGGTGATGAATAGATATACTACAACTACACCATTCATCAATAACCACACTCAGATACCTTCCCGAAACCGCATTCAGTGCCTTCTAGTGGAGGTCCTTTCTTGGTCTTGCAAACCATTGGGCTTTTCTCGTGCCCACACCATAAATGCTGACATGGTTCGATGATTTCGAAGGCTCTGCACATGGCGAACCTACAAATAGAGAAAGAAAACCTCAGAATAAGCGAGAAACTCTGTTTTCTTTGAGGAAGAAGTACGGACTTCCCGGACTAGGTCGAAAATTATCACATTTTTGTTGTCACTAAAACAATGAAAATCTTGATAAACCTAGAATCTCGAGACTAAGAGATTCTAGGGAAATTCCGTGAATCGATTGTCAGCTGATGCAAGACAGACTGTTTCGACTTGCCATGAGTCTCATCAGTTGCACTGGCCAGCTGACAATCGATTCACGAAGGGTATCTCTATATATCAAACAAGTCGAAGAGATTCTAGGTTTATCACCATATGTTAGTGGAACATTAAACCACTTTGAGATTTACAGGTGTTGCGATAGTCTACAGAATCTGACATGGATGTCTTTTCTGTAAGCATATAGACGTAGGGGTCTATATGCACGACTTGGTCGCAAGGTATGATTGATGAATCTACCTAATACACCTTGCACTTAAGCCACTAGATGGCTATGAAGGCTAGATCGTCCTTCTACCCCCTCAGGGCTTTGACTTAATAAAAATCTTGGTAGCTATTTAACATGAAATTATTTGACCTTTTGATATTTGAAAGTTTGGTTGCAATTCAATCAATAAACTATCGCAGCAGCGATAGTGAGTCTTGAAATGTCCATACGAAATTTTTGATGTAGCTGTTAGTAGGCGAAGGTATTCTGTTCAAATTTCAGTATCTGATATAATACAAGGAATCAAAATGTTCGAAATGTTATTCTACAAAAAAAATTCTATGGGAATGTGTCTCATTGATTTGTTATTCTACATGGTTTCCAAAAAAATAGTGTACGCAACACTTCCAAAACCTTTTTTTTTTTGGACTTGCAGACTCCCAGGAATCGCCTACGGCTCGGCCTAGAATTTTGTCTACTCATCCAAGATAACAGTATTATCCGGACTTGTTACGTGAATTACTATCCCATTGGAAAACATCTCAATGATAGAGCAGCTACATAATTTGGTCAACTAACAGCTATATATTGCATGTGAAACATCGTCGGGAAACGGTTTCCTGAACATGTTGTTTCAGTTTTATAGAACAGCGAGTATTATTATGACTTATATCATTTGTTTAGCCTTATTTTTGGCGCTGTGATCTCTTATCATTTGGGTCTGAAAGTGAAGCAGTAGTATATCTGGACTTGCAATTCAAAGAGTATTTCAATGTTCTACGTGGTAGTAGCCGTTGAAGTACACTCAGTTCCAAAAAAGTGAAGCACTTGATATTTGACCTATCTTCTTGAAAAAAAAAGTAGTAAATCATTGAATAAAAAAACAAAATGCTCGCAAAAAAGCCTCTTTCGTATGGGTCCAAGCACTTTGTATACCATTACTCAATTAACACACAGGGTGAGTCAAAGATTAAGAATAAATCATGGTTCGAGTTATTCCACCACCATCAAGGAGGCTTTGAAAACATTATCACCTCTTATTTTTTTTTTCAGACAAATGCATTACCTACTAACAAATAGAAAAAAAAAATTTAAATCGGTCTACTATATATTTTTTTTGAAGGATATGTCAAATATCAAGTGCGTCACTTTATTTGATCTTCGATTGAAATATCTTCCAAATTTTCCTCTGTTCGATACATTCATCCCTCTTCAATGATTCTAACTTCTTCATAACCCGTTGGATAAGTTAATATACTTTCGAATGATTTGAATATTCAGAATGAATTCTGAAGGAAGCAGCACATAATATATGAGAAATAAATTTACCCATTTCCGAACTCCATCCTACACTGTTGGTCCATAGTAAATGCAGTCTGAAGAGTGGCATTCAACGATATATCTCCTTTTCCTCTCGGTTGGTTCCGAAGACAAGACCATTTACTGAAAAATGAATACCTGCACTATCATCTCTATAAACAGCAACCCAAATCTCTCAATGCACAGCAGTCCGAATGCGACGAATCAAATAACCTATAAAATTTTGTAAAAATGCTAGAGCGTCGTAGCACCGTAGCACTCACCTACTGTACTTCCTGAAGTCTTTCTTCGAGCATTCTGACCAGAAGAACTTATTGAAAGTCGCAGACACCATCGGAGCCATGACACTTCCGTCCAGCGCTTCTTGCGAACAGTTGTTGCCATTTTTCAGGTCTCCATCATGACTCAAACCCAAACTGAAATGGTAGCACAAAGTGGAATTGAATAGGTGAAACAAAAATAAACAGATGCAGATCTCCAAAGACTTTGAGATCTTAGAGGAATTTCGTAAATTGATTTGTCAGCTGAGGCGACATACTGTTTCGGCTTGACAAGCCACATCAGTTTCACTAGGCCAGCCGACAATCGATTCAGGCTTCCACTAAAGAACGGCTCCATTCCATCCATTAGTAGAGATTCTACTTTTATTCACAACCATATACAGGGTGATTCAAAAGTAAGCGGCATCCTTTCAGAGGCGTATTCCTTGCATGAAAATAAGGCAAAAAGTTCCTATTGATAAGGATCCGAAAATGCTTCCTACGGCCCTTTGAATAGGACACCTCAAAGACGGTTTTTTCTCTATAACTTTAAAATCCTTCACAACAAATTTTTAAAAATTGGTGTACGGCATAAACATTCGATGGTAAATAGGACTCCGTATTCGAAATAATTTCCAAACGAAATCACAGTAACCTGAATATCCGGAGAAGAAGGGATATTTTTACACTTACCCTCTCCCGCATGTGACGCCCCTGAATGAAATTCTGAAATTTCGAATACGGAGTCCTATTTACCATCGAATGTTTATGCCGTACACCAATTTTTAAAAATTTGTTGTGAAGGATTTTAAAGTTATAGAGAAAAAACCGTCTTTGAGGTGTCCTATTCAAAGGGCCGTAGCTCCCTTAGGAAGCATTTTCGGATCCTTATCAATAGGAACTTTTTGCCTTATTTTCAAGCAAGGAATACGCCTCTGAAAGGATGACGCTTACTTTTGAATCACCCTGTGTATGTAATGAAAACGAATATTCTCAGATATAATTATGTACATAAAACTGAAAATATCAATTCTCTCTCGGTTCATTCAACAGAAAACAACTACTTTTCTGGCTATATGCCACGACGAACATTGAATTATACCAATTGAACACACACGATAAGAATTTGAAAACAAAATCTCCTGAAGTAGAGAATTTGCATTCTCCTTCATATAAATATATGCACATAATCATCATCATTAGATGAGAAGTTAATGTCACCAAACTGTCTCAATGTTTACTGTCAACCCTCATTTGTTTTGTTCCTTGGGTATTCGTGATTATTTCAAATGATATCATGGTTGTCGATTGATTTGTACAGCTTTTTCATAAACATTTCAAATACAAAATGTTCACATCAAATGAAAGTTTTTGAATTTGCAAATTATCATTAATGACGTTTTCTTGTTAAAAATATGGTTTGCAAAATTTTAAAGTTAAGCTGAATATCGTTGCAACAAACATGTTTGTGACTCCCTAAAAGAATTGAAATCCAAGTTAATTGCACGAATATGCTTGAATTCGAACAAAGGTATGATCAACTGATTTTGTTATGATTAATTTATGTGAGTGTTTAGGGTGAATATGAAAAAAATTACAAATTGGGATATACCTAATTAACGAAAATAATTTGAAAACTCAAATATGTCTTAGGAGGTCATGTTTTGGTATTTTGACATAACTCTCAATTGCAAACAACTTTTCTCATTAATATTTTGCTAAATTGTCTGAAATGATGGTACTTTACTCTTGAACAATTTCTATATTTTTTGGCCCAACCTGTATACTGTTCGACTTGCAATCATTTCAAGTGCATCTGAGATGATCACTGAACATGCAATAACTTTCGGCACTATCTGTATTCTGGTTGTGCAATTCATTAAAAAGATTCCCATATGTTGCACACTTGAATGACCACACTGTATATATCCATTTTCTTATGTTTATAATTATATCTGTGAATATTCCTTTTCAATACTTCCACCAAATCAAGGGGTTCAAACTTGAACGATGGGAACTTGTTATTTTTATAGACATCAATCGCAGATTCGTGATTAGGTTTTCCCAATTCAGAATTTCTTTTCACGTCCTGTATGATGATTATCAATTTATTACACATCCAAAAACATATATTTGATGTTGTCATTACTAACAAGGTTGAGAAGTGTCACATTACACACCTCTACTTCCCGTCCTCACTTCCCGCCCTCACTACTTCCCGCTCTCAAGTAATATTTTCAGAACGAAACAGAGATTCATTGATTCTGATTAAAATGTGATGATTGTGAATAAAATATTGTACAAACCTTGGTAGGAAGTTCCATTCCTGTCTCGAGATCATACATAACCTCGACGCTCTGCGTCTCGATTAACTAACTAATCTCACGACAGGAATGAATCTCTCTCCACCTCGGCGTGTAATATACTTCATTCTCTGACTATATTGCTCATGGAAGGAACACTCCCATTCTTCTGCCTGTCAAGCATGTCTTTCATACTTGAAAACAACACTAAGGAAAGGTTTGAGTCTTTTTTGTAGTGAGTGTTGACTCCTTCAATTATATTATATATTACTATAACTCCTAGATGTCTCTCGTCAGACAACAATTTTGGTCTGGATGTCTGGTTTCAAATATGTTGTTAGATTAGATCACTGGAGTTCTTGAAAAAACAGGAACCCAAAACACGTTCCGTTACGATTGATCTTTGATCATTCTTATAAGAGCTGTAGAGATGACTTTGGGTTTCCATCTAAATATGTTACATTCATTTTTTTGTAAGGACTACCCTGATCAATTGATATGTCGATTATGTAACTTCACGATATTCTTAACTACCTTCGAACCAGAATGACAAGTACTTACTTATAACTACAGATATAAGAGCATCAAATCATTCATTCTCTCATGAATAATTTCATATATTGGGTCCCCTATTCTTGCAATGCGTCCAATTTTTAGCTGGTATCTATGGAAAAGTGAGAGATAGCCGGCTTTTTCACGGTGTTCTGAAGAAGTCAAAGAATCAGTGAGTATAGTATCACCCACTAGGCGAATGGATCTTTTCTGGCTGGAAATGATCTAAGAGTATCAGCGTCTTCTGAAACTGGTCGTATCTGTGCTTTGTACATTATGAGAAGTTGTAGAGGTGTAAAGAAGTTTCTTGCATGAAATTAAAATCCAAGTTTTTGTGAAGCAGCTTTCGAGATGGATCGAAGATGATTTTTTCATGATATAGTATTGCTGATGGAAAAACCGAGCATACAGTGGAATGCACAGAAATGGCCAGTGCTGTACCGTCTGGATCATTCGAGATCAGTTCCTGAAAATTGATGAGTATACCAAACTGCCCATTCATTAACAAACACAACATGTTTGTTCTATCACTTTCGGTTCCACTGAAAAAGACCCCAAAATTCGATTTTCAAATTCGATACCCTGATGTATTTATATGCAATAATCGGTTTGGGATCATCATGAAGAATTCAATGACACTGGGTTTTGTGGTATATTTCAAAAGATCACGGAGATATTGGCGTTCGATGAATCCATATGCTCATTGGGTGTAACTTCGCAATATCGATACTTTTTTCTCTGTCACACTCAATGAGCATATGAAAAATTGCAGCATATATCTTCATCTTCAATTTCTTCAATTTGCTATGATAATCCCTAACCTATTATGAAATTAATTACAGGATATTCTATTCAAAAATCGAAAATTGGGGTCGTTCTCGGTGAAACCGAATGTGTTAGATTGTCAATAAATTTAGCGATCTGGCATACTTGCTACCCACCAATTTTCCAAATATGATATCGAATGAATCAGAAGTTACAGCACTGGTCATTATAGGGATTCTTTTTCGTGCGCTCCAAGCGATAAAAAAAAAACTTCTCTGTATCGTGGTCTTGGTGGTACCAGACATTGTTTTATCGGGCATATTGGGTTCCTGCTTCCTAGAGAAAATACAGACTTGCATTTTGGTGGCATTGAGTTCAACTAGGTTGTTGCGTCCCCATGCTGTAAATTCACCAACGTTGTCATTGACAGCGTTAGCCTGCTGAAATTCTTTTGTTTTTTGGTCGAAATTGGAATTCTAGAAGAGAACGCAGTATGGAGAGTAGAGGTACTATCGTCTGCAAGAGTTGTGGATAGGGCAACAGATCATCGCAATGAAGTAGGAACAATGTTGGTGTCAAAATGTATCCTTATGGAACGCCAGAACTTGCCATATCGATCATCGGTGGCGATAGCCATATTCTTCATCATCAATGATTCCTAGTTTTTGTGCAGGCTTGAAATGTCTGGCGGTACTCTCGTCTTGGAATCTGAGGTATAGTTTGCTGTGAACATCTTTGCAGAAATCATTCTCTCGCTATGTTGTTGCTGATGTGCTATCGGAAAGTGGTGGGAATGAACTATTAGTGAGATTGCTTCCGACAGCTTCAGCGAAGGACCAAAACGAGCAGGAGCCATTGGGACAATCTATGAGTTTTGAAATCATTTTGACGTTTTATGATTGTCTCAATGCATCCTTTGTTCGGCTGTAGCTGTTTCTGGCTTTGCCAGACAGTTTTTGGCACTCTTGAGATTCATTTCTTCGTTCAATTCCCCAAATATTGTTATTTCACTGATATCTCAGAAGGGTTTGGGTCGCATAAATGGTGTTTCAATCCGTTTCACCGTAAGCACCTAGTTATATCTGCTATTTTTTCCCATTCAGTCCGGTATGCCCCAGAACCAACAGAAGGGTGACCTCATTTGCTTCACCTAGATTGTTCAGTTTCCTTGGCAGTTTCAGACTATTTCAGATCTAGCTTATTATAGGGAAGCTCAGTGCTGCGATAGCTGCTCAGCTATAAGACATGATGATGACCTATTGTGTCGAAGAAACATGGAATTTCAAGACATTCGTAAAAAATCATCGTCTGTGCAGTTTTTTACATCTTTCAGTCAATCATAGCGATGTTAATTTGTGGTTCGGAAAGGGATATCCTGTAATGTTCAGAGAACATCGTGAGAACCAAGGGAAATGAGGTAGGAATTGGTGTTCTTGTTGAATTTCTGAAGGTTATATCCCTCGGTGTTCGTTGGATGAACGAGTCTTTGGAAAGAGATGTTCTGCAGGTCTCCAAAGTGACCACGAAGGGGTGCGA